AGATGAATTACCGCATCTTGCATCTTCCACCAGGAGGAGGGAAGCAGAGGCTTATCAGTAAGTCTCTTCACGTTCTGGATGCAGCATATTCCACGTGGGGAATGCTGCTCTGACCATAAACTGGGCAATGTCAAAGACTGTCAGCTTTGAGTGGGACATAGAGCAGAAAAGGTCTAGGTAGCAGGGCGTGGTTGCAGTGCACAAAGCCCTTCTGCTTGGGCCCTGTGACCTGGAGACACTACAGCATTAGAGGTACCAGCAGTGGCAACAGATGTAGTGTGGAGGTTATGGCAAGCGACAGTCGTAGAAGAACTTAGGCTCTGAGATCCAGTCGTTGCCATTTGTGGCAGTAATTTACATGTCTTTTAAAAACTTCTGATACATTAATGGGGGCTTATAGAGACTAAGTACCTGGCTATGGGATACCAAATGACCATGCCTCTGGAACCATGAATCATGAGCTGGGTTCTAACAAAGCCACTAGGTGAAAGGATAAGACAGGTCTAGCAGTAATTCACTGTAAGATAGAAGTAGAAAAACTGGGATCGGGCATGAACAGGACTGGAAGGCACAAGGAAGTTGCATGAAAGATAGCCCTGTCTTCTATGTCATCCACCACTATTGTACCAGTACCTCTTCCTCAGCTTGTCCCTCACTCCGTACGGAGGATTCCTTATGATCGGCTAATGGAGGAGGAAAAAACTTGAATTTTGTTTAGTAAGTGGATGCAGTGCAAGCTGAAAATGGATGGCAGCTGCTCTGCAACCTCACTCAGGGGTAGCTTTGAGATACAGTGGCTGGGGAAAACCTTTAAAATGGGCAGGTCATTGGTGGTACACCTGGTTGTTCTCTTTGTGTGGAAGACATGGCTCTGTAAGATTATATATGGACTCATGGGCAGACATGAATCGCCTGGCTACTAGTCAGATGCCTGAAAGGAGAGGGATTAGAAGACTGGGGAAAAGGAGAGCTGGGCTAGGATCACGTGGATGGACATATGGGAGTGGGCACACAGTGTGAAGATCTTAGCACCATCACGAGTTAACACATACTAGAGAGCATCCACCACAGAAGAGGCCCTAAGACCAGTATGGACCTGTGCTGTTCAGTACTGTATCCACTAGCCACATTTGGGTAGTCCAAATGAAACGTACTATAAGTGTAAAATACACACTGGATTTCAAAGACTTAGTGGTACAAAAAAAGTAAAATATTAATGATGATTTTTTATATTGATTACATGTTGAAATAATATTTTTTATATAATAGGTTAAATAGAATATAATATTAAAATTAATTTCATCCATTTTTAAAAAACATATTTAAGTTGGCTACTAGAAAATATAATATTACATATATGCAGCTCACTGATGTGGCTCATATTATATTTATTTTGGATAGTATTGATATAGACAAAATAACGTGGACATTTGACAGCAGCAGCCTTAGCCACTGGCTACTCCAGTGCTGCCATGACAGGCACGTGATGTGGGTGGCAGAAGGAGACACGAAGGCTATGTCTGGGCCCAGGAGCACAGCTTTCCATTTACGAAGGTTGACGAAGCTACCACTGCTGCCAAATGTACAGACTGCCAGCAGCAGAGAGTGATGCTGAGCCCTCAATGTGGCACTGTTCTCTTGGAGTCTCACCAGACACTTGCTGGCACATTGATTATTTAACTTCTTCCATCCTGGAAGAACCAGAGGTTGTTTTTTTTTATTTTAATTTTTTGTATGTATATATATTTCAAGTCTGATTTGCCTTTCTTAGCTGCAGGGCTTATAGTGTATTTGTTCTACCTATATGAGACCCCACATAACATTATTTCAGAGCAGGTGAACTAACTTACAGGAAAGGAGGTATGGCAGTTGGCCCATGATCGTGAGGTCCACTGGTCACATCATAGACTCAGAAGCTCCTAGCCTGATAGAGTGTTGACAGACCTGCTGAAGGTGCAGTTGGAGTGCACGTTTAGAGGTGATACTCTGCAGGATGGGGTACCATGCTCCAGGATGCAGTATATACATTGGATCAAAAACCTTTATATAGTATTATGTCCCCAGTAGGAAGAATACATGAGTCCAAGAACCCATGTGTTCCTGCATGGGATGAAAGCAGGAGTGGCCCCATTTAACACATCTTACTGGGGGAAATTGTACTTCCTATCACACAACTCTGTAGGCTCTGCCAGGATAAAGGTCCTAGTTCCCAAATGGGACACATTTTTATCAGGGGACTAAAGATTCACTTAGAACTTAAGCTACTGCTGCTGTCTGGGCATTTTGGGTGGGGAGAAGAGTCACCATGTTGATAGAGGTAATTGATCTTGATCATCAGGAATAGATAGGTCTACTGTTATACAACAGGAACAAGAAAGAATATCCACTTCAATGCCTCTTGGGTCTGGGTCATACCACAAAGTGAGCCACTGAGACTAGCAGAAGTGGTTGCTGAAGCTGAGGACAATGTAGAATTTTTAGTGAAAGAAGGAGATGATGAATGTCAGTTGTGGTTCTAAGACCAGCTAGGGTGGCAGGGGTTGTAGTTTATTCTACTAACCAAGCTATTCTAAGTTTTCCAGAATCCTAGAGAGCCTGCTTCTCGAAATTTAAATGAAGACACAGATCTGAAGGATGAACTGTGGAAGACAGAGAGCTGTGCCACCTCCAAGTATTCCCTTTCAAGGAAGGCCTTTCCCAGCTTCTGCAAGAGCTGTCAGCAGTCTCCAGCTTTCAGCTCTTTTCAGGTGTTTCCACTACTACAGAGCACCAACTCGGCCCAGAGCCCTCCCTTCCTGGAGGAGACTTTATCTAGTGACTGACTGTGGAGTGGCTATAAAGGCCCAGTCATTTTCAGGCCACCAGGCTCAAAGGAGCCTTTTACGCTCCAGAGCACCCAGGTGGGGCTGGCCTGGCCAGTGACACACTCATTCACTCCAAATCTTACATCTTTATCTAAGCTCTAGACTCATACTTCCTTCTGTCCATTGGTTAATTTCATTGAGTATTCTAGCATCAATTCAATGTCCAGAATGAATGTGTCTCTTTCTCCTTATAACATCTTAATTTCTGTTAATGATGAATCTATTCTCTTAAATACTTCTCCATACTCCCCCTACAATATTTTAATCTTGCTGTCACTCTTAATCTCCCACGCCCAAATAGATCTTCAAATAACTGGCCTTTTCTTTGCCAAAATCACCTTGATCCCTGTCCTCACTTGTCTGAAGGTCCCTGCCTGTCTTGTTCACTGTTGCTCCCTTGTTCTTTAGCACAGTGTCCTAAACAGAGTGGTCCTCAACAATTATTTTTTGAATGAACAGTGACTGCAAGAACTACAAGGAAGATTTTTACTCTGGCATTCCCATCTTCCCAAACCGTCTGTGTACTGCAACCACACTGATTCCACACTGCTAAACATGACTCTTACTTGGTCGAACTTCCTCTTCCAATACCAGGAATTCCCTATTTCCCGAAGAGTACAAGTCAGACTCTTTGGACTGGTCTTCAGAGCTTTGAAATATCTGAATTGATTCTCATCCGATTGCTCATTTGTTCCTGAAGGTAAATCATCCGCTCTTAGCAATGTCTTGCCCTGCACAGAAGGGGTGACTTGGTTCTGACTCAGCCTTTCCTCAAACTGTTCCATAATGTGGAATACGGAATATCCCCACCAGCTGAAATACTCCCTCCCCCGAATGTGACACCTTCTCCAAGCTTTTAGCCAGCCATCTTTCCTTCATCTGAACTCCTGTGAATGCACCACTCATTTTTGTACAGCACATATATCAATAAGCATGTTTTAAGTGTCTACTATGTTCCAGACACTAAGCTGGACGCTAAGGAGGACAGTAACAAGACACATTTTCTGTTTCCAGGGAGTCCTGTAGAGGGAGTAGATGCACAAATAAGTGAGTATAATGAGACTTTAAGGGGCTCTAAGAAAAGTCTGCATTGGGCATAAAAGAGCCGATAATAAATTTTCAGAAGAATCAGAAAGGCAACATAAAGGAAGGGATATTTGAATTTTCTCTTGAAAAATAAGTAGATGGTCATTATAATTGTGCTGTCAGAATGGGTTTGTGGGGGTGTATAGTCTGGGCACAAGGAGCAAGCTGAACAGAGGCAGGGGAAAAGGTAGCTGGTGAAGTCTAAGCAATCTGTCTTGTGGGCAAGGGAGGACCTGAGAGGCAGAGAGTTTGATGAGCAAAAAGCCTGGAGGGTTTGCTGTACCCAGATCTTAGGTGATCTTGTGGGGCATTCCAAAGAGTTTGGACTTTATCTTGTTGGCGATGAGGAAGGAACACTGCAGAAAATTTTTCAAGTAAGTGAGCAACATGATCAAATTTGAGCTTGAGATGATCAGACAATTTACATATTATTATTTAACTTTGAAAAACATAGCTCCAGTGTCTAGATGTAAGAAAACAAATTGTTTGCATATGAAGGGAGATGAGGAAAGATCTGTTTTCTTTCTTCTTTGTTCTACTGTCAAGGAATGTAAGTTTGCTTACCTTAAGTCAGCATTATTAAGAAGATAGGCATATATACGTACATGTGCGTACACATACATTCTAAACACCAAGTCACACAGAGTCTGCTTTAAGCAAAGCAAAACAAAATACTACTAAACAAGTGAATTACAAGATACTACTTACAAAAGGTTGGATTTGTGTTGGTAAAAATCTCCTAGTAAATGTCATTTGAATAGGGAGTTCCTCTCTGGCCTTCATGTTTGTTTACACATTGCTTGATGAAGGGGTTGAATAGTTGAGGAAGAAAACTGTTATTAAGCATCTCCACTTAGAGATCAATCATAATAAAGTTAACACATCTTTGAGATGATAATGTAATGAGCCATTTCACAGGAACGGGCTTCACACACAACTTTTCAAGAATGTATCTGTTACACAGAGGGAAGGAGATATTCTTGCCTTGTGTTGTGACAGCTCAGGATGTAAGAACAAACGATTTACACAAAATGCAACAAAAATGCAATAGTAGATACAACTTAGAAACCGGTTTTACTCTGCTGCAAACAGATGGACAAGATATTGTACAATATATGATAAAAAGTACAGCATAATACAAGTGCCACTAATAAAAGAAACTTAAAGATAAGACTTAAAAATGCTTATTTGTAATATATATATATACACACTGCAATAAAAAGCCACAATAAATACACGAATTTCCATGTCATTCATAATAAATACTGAAAATATAAATACAGAAGACTACAGCTAATAGGAATAAATTATTACAACATAAGGTCCAGGTTAAGTTCTGTTGAATATTATTGTAGCTTATTTTATATACCCTTTGGCATCTTTGATGTTATAACTTATACACAAGAGAAACCAATCTAGAAATTGTGTGACATACAACATGACATTTTAGTGTAAAGTGATTGTGTATATGAACTGTAGTTTGATTTTCTTCCCTTTCAACCTTTCTAAGTTACTAGATTGAACACAATGGTAATAAAATATCTATTGAAATTCTATTGATGTTGAGTAAAAGTAATAACAGAAATCATCTAAAAGATAAAACCAATCACAATGTAAAAAAAAAAGTTACAGTGAGTTTATCTCACTGCGTTTTACTTTTTTTTTGCCAGCAAAAAGCAAACAACAAACAAAACCAAAAAGACAAACAGTCTCAAAAGACTTCCCTTGTGTACAGACCATTCCCGATGTCCGAACGTTTCAACATAGACTGAAGGATAACACCTAAGTGCTTTGGATAATTTGATCTACTGTTACATTCAGCTCACTAGAATTCACCAAAATTTGCAAATGTACCAAATTTCTATGGCAGCTGGAAAGTGGAGACACAATTGATATCTAAGACTATGGTCAAGGTAAAGATACTGCAAAAAGTGACATTTGTCTATGCAACCAATTATACATATATATTTTAAATGGGGAAAATGCATTTTTGACTAATGTCAAATGACCTTTTCCTATCAAATTGATATACCCTGTGACATTGAGGGAAACACATTGAAATAACAAAGTGCCATTTTCTGCATTAACAGGCATTAACCAGTACATATGTATTAATAATTCTATCTTAAGAGGCTATTACACCAGAAATGCAATAAACTAAAATGAAAGCAGATCAACGTTACTAAGACACAATCAAGGCTGAGGTTCTTAGGAACAGAGTTGTAATCTACAGGTTTTTAATGTTTTTAACTATTTCTGTACTGTAAATGACTAGCGTTTATTTTACATCAAACACTTTTGAAACATGTTTCACAAACTACGCCTCAGACTTATTTCCATAGAGGTACCTAGAGTCAATTAAAACATGGGCCAAATGATTCAACATTCTTTACATAAGCATTCTATAGCTTTTTTTTTTTTTTTTTTGTAGAAGCAAGAAAGGGTTATTTCCCCTAGTGTTATATGTGGGGAGCAACCACACTGATGTGGCTGTCATTTCACAAGAGCATCCGAATTGGGGAGATGAGCAGCTGTACTGAGATTCAAAAAAATCCCATGGAGAAAGGAAACTGACTTCAGGGGTGCTCCCCATCTTCCAGAGTTGGAAGCAACTCTGAGCAAACAGAAAATGCTCTGAAAGCTGCAGAGGGGGCTTGGATCAAGTGATGTAATCAGAAAAAATATCACCACCCTCCCGGACTCCTCCCGTCATTTTCAGGCCTTGTCAAGATGACAGATTTTTTAATCATTTCGCTGATCCCTGAGCAGGCAAGCAGCCCTTGTTTAAATACCATGGGGACAAAGGCTGGGATCAAATGGTGGCTGAGTAATTCTCTGGAGTCATTTTATTCCACATCAGACTGTCTACAACTAGTCACATCTTCCCCAGAAAGAGTGGAAAAACTTGAGATTCTTATTTGTCATTTTAGGGTAAAGAAAGATTAACGAGAAGGTACTTATTTAGAAGCAAGAAGGTAGAAAATGCTCACTTTTTGTAATTGTAACTTCTCAGAAAATTGAGCAGTTTAAAAGTTGAGAACTTGATCCTAGTTCTGATGTTTGTCACTGGGGATCTGAAACAGTCACTTTTCCTGACATTGCCTCCTGACATCACAGCAATGGTAAAACAAAAATACAAAAACAAAAAACAACTCTAGCCATATTTGTCAAGAACAGGTCATGTTACTGAGCATTGTCTCAGTACCCACATCTTTATTTTTAAAAATCTAACTTCTTATGGAATCATCAAATGTAATAATCATCAAAGGTAGGGGAAACCCAACTTTTTTCGAGTCTCCCAGGACAATGGCCCAAATCACCACAACTGTTGCCAGGTGCCTAGCTCATAACGAGTGGCCAAGATATTTTCTTATTGTGAGAAAAACCTACGAGAACCGGATTGTGTTACCAAGGTAACCGCCTTCCCTAAAGATGTTAAGAATAGATGGGTATCTATCCTGTTGGGCATGCCTGAGTGACAGTCCTCTCTGGAGGTAGATGGATGAGCCAGATGACCTCTGGAGATCTCTTCTAGTCTCAGGACTATAAAATTTGAAGAATACAGAAGAATATCAAGCTTTGCATTATTCACACACAGTTGGCCATTGTATCTTTGAAAAGATTAAACTATTCTGAGACTTCCGTTTGGCATGACTAGTGCCTAATGAATCAAGATTCATACAGTAAACTTTGGTAGTAGACTCAATTTGCTTATGGTACAACAAACAAAATGAGTTTGCCAACGAATACATGTAAAATCTATCAAGTTCAGATTTCATTTAGGTATCATTAAACCATCCAACGATCAACACAAAATTAAAATAAAACAAAGCAAAACTAAACTAACCTCAGGCAATTTATTTCGTAGGTTTAGATATTTAGGTTTTTCCTCTTTAGGAGAATTTGAGATTTTGATTTTATTTCATTTCTTCCTTCTCGCTTTCATATTTAAGTAAAATTTCAAAATGTTGTCTAGATCTTTGACTTTGTTTTTAAGATGGATGGTTTATTTAGGGCTCAGGAGAAAAGGTTGGTGGCCAACATAAAACAGAGGAACAAAACAAAATTGGATAAATTATGCTACAAAGTTAGAAATTTCAATTTCATTTTTTATAGGTTCCCTATTTAGAGACAACAGCAAGACCACATTAGGAGGCCACATCCTGACAAGAGGGTTTCTGGTCTTACCCAGCATAGCAGTAAGACTGGCTGAAGATCTCTGGTGATACACGCTCCTAGATAATTTTTAAAGAGATATTTTCAAACTCAATTGCCTTCTGAATACTCATTAATAAATAAATTTTAAGATACTCCAAAGCCAGGTCAAAATAATGAGAGAAAGACAAAAGAGAAGGATATCTAACAAAGAAGCCATTCCAAAATTACAACTGAAACCATCAAAGCAGGTCACATAAATTAACTTAGAGAGAGGAAAGGCTAATTTCTACCATAAATTTGTCTTCTAAATCCTTCTAATCGATATACATTATCTTAAAAATATTTAAGTGGCCTCATACATGTCACTAAAATGAGTTATTGAACTGACTTGACTATCACCATGGTAATGAGTAATGCCGAGAAAGGAATGACGTCATTAGCATGTTGAATACAAACATTGTCCAAAAGAAATTCTATCATATTCCTTTGAAAGTATAGTTCTGCCAGAAACTTTTATGAGATGAAACAAAATGACACACTCGAGTTGGCTTTTCTTGAATTATAAGCAAGCATAAGGTATCAAATAAAAAGCAATTACCCTGTATAGTGAGATATTTACCACAAGTGGAAAAAAGCAGTAACAACGTGACATACATCTTTGAAATTACTTCATTTTCCATGAATGTAACAAGTGCCTGTATTTACTACAATTCCAGGCTATATGTTAATTAGATTACAAAAACTGCATACAGGAAATGAACTGGTTTAGGCTTTGAATCTGGCTGTATACACGCTTCCCATAATTCTGTCTGAATCACCACCGTCAGGATATAAAACCTAAGGCATAACATTTACTGTCCAGACAGCACAAAGTTAGACAAACCCCAGGACTGCTCACAGGTAAAACCCAGGTCATATTAAGCTTTTGAGATTGAACTTCCGATAAGAAAGAAAAAAAGTGAAATATCTGCAATGCTTAGGAAAGGGGGTCTCATGGTCTAGATTGAAAGCTAGGAGAGGAGTTGAAGCAAAACTTAGAAGTGACTGTTTTTTTAAAGAGTCCCATTGAATATACAGATTTGGCAGGTAAAATGGTAAAGAACTCTTTTATTTCCATATTCATTATTTTTGACAGTCATTTCAATATAAAATGTGTTTAAACCTTAAAAATAGTTTCTTTAGCATGTTGTAGCTCTTTTTTTTAATTTTTCAAAGCCTCAAATGATTTGTAGATTATAAGACATAATTGATGTGGATGGTGGGCAGCAGATGTGAGTACCAACTGGGTTGGGAGGGTGTCCACATTGTAACTGCCCCTTCTAGGGTTCGGGCTGCCATTTGTGAATCTAGTTTTTCTAGTATAATAAAGTTCTAGCATTTCAGCTCTGCTAAAACTTTATGGTTCCTAGAAGACACCACCACTTATTAAACTTATATTTTATCCTCACCCCACCTGAACTTCCATAATTCTGGTAAGTTTTCAATTTACTGATATTCAGTTAAATTAAGTCAATTAAATTCTTTAATGCTACAGAAACCATCTGATGAACTGTGTTGTTTGTGCAAATCTGTGGCATTTGGCTTAAACGTTTATGTTACTTGAGCACAAGTTAGCAGATCTCAGAAAGAATAATGTAATCTGTAGTCACAAATTCGTGTTTAGAGCTAAGAGTGATTAAGGCTTTAATAGTTCCAGTTTCAAATTACAGACAAGTCTTGCATTTGAAAGTATGAGGGTAATTCCCATTTCAGGTTGATATTTTATACACTGACTTCAATAATGACACTCTTAACTCTGTGAGAGAATACGGAGTAGATGCCATTTTAAAGAGAAAGATTAAGTCATATTTGGAGAAATGGAAGGCTTTGTGGCATCTTTTAAAAAGGCAGTCTCTGGTTGACTTCTGAAGATGTCAATTTTCCACTTGCTAATTTGATGGTTTGTCACCCCAGCTAAAAGTATGGGGGCCAAATGACCTCTCTGTTTTCTACAGGTTGCATGGTAATGCCTTTGGAACTTGGAACTAGGGTTTTGCTATTTCGATAGGCTGTTTAGAAATAGAAGTAGCAGTGATTGTGCTCCACATTGTTGTTTCAAAGGTTTCCTGAAATGTTTCCTGGGTTATGCATGAGTCAACCTGCCTTTGAAACTGTCTGGTAGGAGTTTGCTGGTGTAAGTTTAGCATCATTTCTCTAGGTCTAACACTGAAGAAGCAATTAGCTCAATATTTCTTTTTCATTCAATCCAGTTCTTCTAGCTGAGTCCAGATTTAATTCATAAATTTCAGATGGGGGAGACAGAAGGAGGATCCAGCGAGTTCCATTAATTTTCGAAAAAGAAGTATCCTTTTAGTTGCAGCTTGCATATAATTAGATGAGAATTGATGTCATTTTTCTAATATCAATTTATAAAATCACAAATTAAAAGGATTACATTGAGGCTTGATTATTTCATACTACTCTTCGTCATCATCATAATCCCTTAAAATTTGTATTGTTCCCCTCTTTTTACCACATAGGACAGCTCCTCTAACATAGTAGGTGTTCAATAAATATTTATTGAAAGAAAGTACTGATACTTAATAAATTCTAAATATCAATGAAAGGGTTATAAACTTGTACAAAAATGTCAGAGGTTTAATCAAAGAACCAGTGATATATCAATTTATACGAAATAAATCATGACATATTTTCCTGTTTAATGACAACTAAATCAGAATTTTGCCTAGAAGTCATCTGTCAGAGTGCAAAATTTTAAAGAACATAATCACTTATAATCTCTTTGCTTCTCTATTAGTTTATGGCCAGTGTTTCTGTAAGTCATAGCTTTTTCTTCCGAGGGTGGGTATTGCTGGGCCATATATGATTGTGAGGATTTTATCACTCTAATAAATATTAATTTCACATTTTATATGTGGCTGGCACACTGGGAAAAATACAGTTTCATCACAAGAAAAGGCTTGGCTGTCAAAAAGCAACTATGCTATTCAATTAACCAAAAGACATGAGACAAACGGATTTTACTTAGGTCTTAATAATCAAAGATCAAGAGATGGAGAAAAAACTTAAGTAAATCTCTTTCATTGACTTTCTTCTCTCAAAGGAAACCTAGAATAACAAAGGAAATGCAAGCTGCTTCAGCCACTTGACTTGCAAATCAATTTGGCCTGGATTATAACTGGGAATTAAGCCCCAATAAAAGGTATAGGGCTGGTACTAAAACAACAGGCACCAAGGCAAGAAGCTTTGCCATTGACAGTGAATGACTAAAAAGCTGTGTGTCAAAAAAGACTATAATTTGGTTAGATGTGCTAAGGGGGCAATAGAACAGCTGCAGGTCAGGTTATTGTGTCTTGGCATAAAGATCTTAAATATCCCAACTGGCTGCATCTAGCTCGATCCCCATTTTAAAAAGCTTAGAAAAACTGTAGCACTTTCCTGGCATGTGGGCAGTTTTTGTTGAATAAAGGGCTATTAAAGGAAAAAAAGTCAGATGGAACACTCTGTTCTCTCAGCTTTTCTGGGAAAGTAAGTAACAATGAAAATGATTTCATCACTAGTATTCTTTGCAACTTTGACCCAATATTTTCAAACTATAGCTTTAAAAATTATCCTCTTTTCCAGATCGCATTTTTAGATCATAAAACCCAACCAGATTCTAGGGTGGGAAAAATTCAGTACTCATTGGCCATTGCCTAAAATCTGTCATTCTCCAGTGTGTGGTATACATCTATTTGTGTGTGTGTGTGTGTGTGTGTGTGTGTTGGGGCGGGAGGAGGAAGTAGGGATGTTTTAACAGGTAATCTGTGTAGGTAGATTGTGGGAGATGTTTAGGGGTTAGATTATGCATATGAAAATTTGGAATGGAAGCTGTCATGATTCGAAGGTTAGTCTTCTGTGTAGCAGTAACTTTCAACCCCGGTTAGACAGATAGGGGAAAAAGCTCTGGTTTTGTGTTTGCCTGTTTCTAGGTTAAGCATCCTTTGGGAAATGAAGCTACAAAACAGAGACCCAGCTAAACGTAAAGAAGTAGATGTCAACCTTCTTGTGAAAATAAAGCTGAACTAAATTAAATATCCATACTTTCAGAAACTGGACTGACATTCTACCTTTCAACTCTGCCTGCCCCAGCCAGTTGCCTCTCCCCCACTCTGCCACATTTTGTTTCAAGAATAAACTGAGTGCTTCACATGTGAATACTTCAAGGGCTTGTAATGATCCAGAAAATATGGCACACATGATTCTTTCACGTGCTTGAATGAAGGAACAGTAGCCGTTTGTCCTTTTCTCTTTGGGCCTGTGCTCTTTAGATTGTATTGATGGGGGAAAAAAGTTGGAGATCAAGCACTAAAAACTGTCACTTTGTAGTCAACATGGGATATACTACAGAGATTTGAGCAAAACCCCAATCTGGTTAGCCCAAAGGGCTTATCATTCAAAAGGAACATCCCTGCCCTCATTACTACTACCTCCATAAGGACAAACCCCAAACTCCTTTAATGTTAATATTTATGGTTATAAATTTGGCCCAGTCCTGGGTAGAGAAGGGGCAGGAACCAACTGCACAGTGGAAGAGCTGCCAAGTAAACATGTTTTCCCCGAATCAAGTTTTAGTAGAAAGTTTTCCATTGGAGGACTTTCTCTAGATCAAAGAGTTTGATCTCTAGATCAAAATAATATTTTTTTAAGGAATTAAGAGCTACAAAACATTTATATCCATATTTCTAAACATCCAAGGCTAAAAGACATAAAAAGCAAATAGCAATGCAGTCACTGAATAGCAAGGCATGTCCACATTTCAAAGAGGCATAAAACGTGAAATGATAAGGTCAAAAATGTGAAACAGATTTAGCATAGTCATACTGCATTGAAAAAAATGTAGAACACACTATTTAGTTACCTAAATTAATTTACAGGAAAACGGGATCTTAGAAGTCCTCCGACGAACCAAGTGCAGAGAATCTAAAGGTGGGGAGGGCATGTTTTATTTCTATCTGTCCCCTTTAATAAGAGAACGTGAGGTAATTAGAAAGTACTCAATGCATTCTGGACTATTCTGCTAATTGTCCCAGGCAAGAGAAATCAAAATGCTTCAGAAAAGTAAGGCCTCGCTGAGTATTCGGGTAGAGGCCCCCCTTCGATCAGCTAGTCACTAAATGGAAATGTCATTATACACTCATTTTGTAGAGATGGATTAGTCACGCTGTAGAAAAGGCTGGTCGCTGAGGATGTGTCTCTTCCACGTTCCCTCAGCCTCCTCTGCTTTTACAGAGTTAGGTCTTCAGAGTGGCGAAGGAAAATAGGTCATTTTTCCTTCGTAAGGTATCATTGGATGATTCCTCTAGATTAATTATATGAACCCTATAATAGTTACAGATTTAAAAAAAATTTTTTTTAATTTTTCATCTCAAAGAGTTCTCAGTCCCCACCCCTCAGAAGGTACCATGAAGGGGCACTAAAGTGCATTTTAATGTAGGGGAGTAGAGTTTAAAGGTGCTGTCCAAGCTAAGAACCAAGATGATGCTGTTTAAAAAAGAAAGGCAATTCCTTCTACCTCCATCTCTGGAGTCAACTGAGGGAGGGCAATGAACTCGACCCTCACCAGAGGATTGTCCTAACTCTTAACTTTAGAGAAAACTGTGTAAGGACCTGCACATATAGACTCATTTATTTGTCCAAAATAGCAAAAATAGGCCTATTTCACCCTTAAGAAAGTATTTGCAAATCTGATCAGTCATGATCATAAAAACGTGAATGGATTTCAGATGCAATCCATGTGGGCATGCTCGGTGGTATCTAACTATGCATCTTCAGCTTAAAAGAACATGCTGCTGTTCATTTTCATCAAAACATGACTTCTAACTACCATAAATAAAATACACATGAAACGATTAAATCTTTTTCTTACAATAATTACTTTTACATTAAAAAGTCACCATCATCTTCAGATATATCGAAAATTAGGACTCTAAATCTTATTTCCCAGTCTTAGTTAACAATCTTGCACAGGCCCGATAATCCAAAACTTGGAGCTCTGATCTACACAGCTTGGCAGGTTTCACACAGTTTGACAGGTAGGCAACTGTGAGATATGCTTTTTTAAAATTAGCATTTTCTATCAAAACAGTCTGAAATCTTTTAAAATCCGCAGAGAGACTGTATTTGTGCAATGCCACAGTCACGTAGCTAAAAAGGAGAAAACAAAATACAGTCTGGAAGATTCACCACAGTCCAAGTTTTCTTGGTCCTCAGTTTAAACCACCATGAGCCCAGGAAATCCAATTAAATACAGAGCTTTAAATAGGAGAAGAGTTGGTCCTAGAATAACTTAAGCTACTAAACAGGGACGGTCTCAACCACGGGTGATTTGATGCACTCTTCGTGCAATCTGCTCTTTTCTGCAAGGCTCAAAGTATTTTCAGCAGGATGCTCTGAAATGTGACTGTCACCATTCAATGTAGAGACAAACCCTTCCTGGGAGGGGCCTTTCAAGTATGAGTGAAATTCCACTTGAGGATGACTGGACCTGTGTTCAGGATATAGGCTATTGCAGGGCACACTGCTGTCATTTTCTGAAGAGGAGCAGCAAACGATGACCGAGGGGTTGGCAGCTGGGTAGTGGGAGGTGCCGTAGGCTTCTGCTTGTCGGGCATAGTCAACGAACTGCTCCGGGGTCATGGTGTAAGGCACCAGCGAGAGGGTACCGTTTTTGACAGTATCTCTTTCAGAATAGTTCTCAGAGATCTGGTTAGGAGTTCCTGGAATGTGGCTATCTATTTGGTAATACAGAGTTGAAGAGTTGGCATAAAAAGAAGCATTTTTTGTGTGGCTTTCGTGAACGGCAGTGCCGTCCGAATAACAAAGGACGGAAGGAAGAGGAACAACTTCAGCGTGGGTACCCAAACCTTCCACGAAGCTGTCCCCTTTCTCATCATCATCATCCTCTTCCTCCTCCTCCTCTTCCTCTTCCTCTTCCTCCTCCTCATCGGACTCGCTAGGTGCCAAGCTTTGTGTACTAGAATCAGTGACTCCGCTGCAGAAACTGCTCCCGTCCTCCTCCTCCTCCTCCTCCTCTCCTTGGCAATCTAATTCCTCAGCAGACTGCAGGTGCAGCACAGCAGCCTGGGGTTCAGTTTCAATCTCAAAATTGTCTGCGATAGAATATTCTACGGAGTGAGCGACAGGGCCCATGGAACTACTGTGAGCACTTATCTCACTGTGGCAGCCGTTCAGTGTGGGGATTTGCTGCTCTCGGTTTTTCTCCAGTTCAAGTTTCATTATTGTGTGCAAAAAGTGAGTCCGGACACGGATAGGATTAAATTCAATTCTACCTGCTGTGTTACTACATCCTTCTTTAGTGCAGCCACATGGGAAAGACATTCGATCCACCTTGGAAGGAAGAACACAGATTAGCCCCATGGAACGCTTACAGACCAAATAAAACTCCAGTATCTTTCCGCAACCCCTTTGAATCTGGGATTACTTAATTCCACTTATGCCAGAACAAATGACCATCAAACTGCAAGCAGAAATGAAAAGGGGGAAGTAAAGGCTTAAAACTTAAGAGTTAACCTAATTTTAAAACCTGTATTCAAAATAAAAATAACCTGCGGTTATAAGTGTATATTTTTAGTGCAGTGACCCCTCCTGTGCTTTTGTTACCTTTTACTCCATTCTCCCTTTTTTCCCTTCTCTCCATCCCATTAATTTTGCTCCTATTTGTCAACGCTTCTATCCTTCCTCTAAGCTCCCTTTCCCTCCACTGTGTGTCAGTTCACATGCCCAATTTTAAGCAAACAAACTTACTGCCCTCATCTCCACCTGCTATTTTTGATCTAAATTATATGACATTTCCCATACTAGCCATGCCCTTTTTTCTTTCCCTATTATAAAATGAACTTCTCTGCCCAAGGTGTCCAGATTGACACCACTTAGTATCATGCAGCCTGATAGTTTGCTCTCATGGATTTGCCTTCTCATTCTTTCAGATCCTTTGTACGTGGTGCATGTATGTGGACTGCAGGGCTGCGATGGGTATGCACATTTATGACTGTGACTGGTGGACTTGTGTTTAGCTCCTGGCTCCCTTCATCCCCTCCCCATTCCACCAGACTACAAACTTTTCACGGGAAGGAGACGTTCATTTACTCAACATCCCCAAATCAGATAGAGTGATTGGGTTCAGCAAGAGCCACTGGACTGAACTCTTGACTCAGGTGAGAAGTGGAATTGCGGGCAATCCAAACACACTCCTAAGACACTTGCTAATTGTTTCAGACCCCACCAACTAAGCTGTATGCAGGCCAGAGCACAGGCAACCAGAAAGAACTTGCCCTGCTTGTCACCTTATCCAAGTGTGGGGAATTTCGTGTGCCACAGAGGAGAAGCGGATGGTAGCATGATCATCCTGGTCCCAATAAAAAGTAGTAGCAGATGTCCGAGCCAGAATCTATAGCTGTTTCCTTACTCATGAACCCCTTTTCTGTGAATCCACCTCAAGTAATTGTTCAGCTGATGAGAACCGTCTTCTCCTTTTGCCTGCCCGAGGGCTCTCCTTATTGGAAAAGCCAAGTTTCCTTGTAAAATAACACCACCTAACTAATCATGGAGTACTAGTGACATTATAGATGGATGGAGACCTGAGAATCATCTAGCCGAGGGGTTGGTAAATTTTTTTGTGTCCCTGATCAGAGAGCAAATATTTTAGGTTTTGTGGGCCTTATAGTCTCTGCGGTAACTATTCAACTCTGCTGTAGAAGAATGAAAGTAGTCACAGAAACATGTAAACAAACAAACCCACAAAATATGACTGTGCTGCAATAAAACTTTATTTACAAAAGCAGCTGACAGGCCAGATTTGGTCTGTGAGTTATAGTTTGCCACCCTCTGATCTAGTCCAGTCCATTCATTTTAGTGATGGGGAAACTGAGACCAGAAAGTTTGCCTGACTTACCGATTTTACATAGCTGGCACAGAGCAGAGCCAGGAGTAGAACTTAGTTTTCTTAAGTCTCAGTCTAGTAATTTTTCCACTAGTCTATACCACCTCTAACCAATCATCATTTTATGACCCATGGATGGATCAGAAAATACAAACTTGAATATTAGGGATGTCATGATCTCCCTGAAGCTTGTAAAAAGCTAAAATAAGCTAGTATAACAAATGAATCCAAGAGGAAATAATTTCAATGGGCTCAACTGCAGCTTGGGTTGCCTTTCACATTATATCTCACCTGTATAAGCATATTATGTGCACCCATGAACGTCCTTGACTTTGTGTTTCTCTCCGCTTGAATCACGTGTCTTGCCTTGCCCCAAAGTTTCCTTCCACATTATCTGTAACACGACTGCCTCTTTAGAGGGTGATGCATAATGTCTCGTCTTTAGATTCCCTGAAATCCCAATCCTTACCTGACACTTAATGCCTGCCAGGCTGCAGGTACATGTTTCTGGATCACAGAACACTCGGCAGTCACAGCCACAGTCCTCTCGCGATAGGCGGATGGCTCGCAGCTCATGCTTTTCTTCCACATCAATCTTTTTCACTCCAGAGGCCCGCAGCAGTGCCCTCCGTTTTTTGGTTGGCAGGGGTTGTAGAAAGAAGTACTCGTCTACCTCTGTGTTGTCTAAATCAATATCATCATCAGAAATGTCGTCCACTGTAAGAGTGCTAGCTTCTTCAGATTCCACCGTGCCGTTCTTAGTCATCTAGAAATGCAAAGCCGCAAATAAGAGACTTAGCACGGGCAGGGTTTAAAATTCCCACTCTCACACTTGGCAGGAATGAAACTACTATATAACATCATGTCCTCAGAATCAATTAAGTGTTTGTGGGTCAAATCATTTCCTTTTATTTTTCTCTTTAGAGAAGTCAAAGGGAGGAAAATGAGGCATCAAAATGCGAGGCTTTTAAGTGTCCCGTAACAGAGGACGTAATTGTAACTCTAAGCTCCCGAGGTTAGGAGCTACAGCTGTTAGAGCTTTCAGCCAGTGCGACGCGAAAGAGACCAAAGGTTACGGATGCCCATCAGTGAAGGCTATCTTTAGACTCAGTTTGTGATGGGCAGCTCTGAGTTGGAATAAATGTGTCCTTGTTCAGAGGTGATAGCATCTTAGCGGAAGCCATTGCCACCTCAATCAGCAAACATGTTGTCCTTGAAATAACAACCCTGTCTTGGGCTCCAACAAAACCATGGACGAGGAAATAAAGTTATGTTGCACTGTGCTGTTGGGATTACAAACACGGTTACCCTACCGAACATTCCAAGAATGAGGGCTTGATATGAAGTAATCAGTTAGGTCAGCGTGCTCTCAGAAAGACAAGGAGCAGAGGGCAGTGCTGGCGGGCTCTCGCCAACAGGAAACTGAAACAATAAACTCAGCCCTCAAAGGAGTTCATAAGAACCTTTGCCCAAAGCAATAGCTTCTGCATAATAGCTCATGTGGACAACTATGTCTCATATACCCTTAACTATTCTGCTTCTATTTATATTTCTTTTCTAAATTAATTTCATCCATCAGTATTTCACTTTTCACTGTTACACCACCACATATTATGTTTCCTTTGTAACAAAGCATTTAGAAAGAGATATTTTGTTTGAATATGAGCAAGAAATGTATTCTGAGAAGCAGCACAGGAATAAATGCAAAAACTTCATAAGGGATTATTCAAGAAAGTTCTAAATACAGAAGCTATTTTAATTTTTTAATTTTTCAGTGTGTTGCATCATAAACTTCATCAATTGTAATTATTACCATGTTTTTTGATCTTAACAACAGTTCCGTCTTTACACAGTTAAAATACTCTGGTGACATCTGACATCATTCTCTCATATTTATAGGAAGAAGACCAACATTTAGATAGGAATACTTATCATTGACCAAAAAGTCGCAAACCAGACAACTGTGAATGCATTGAAAACAAATAGAAGGCTAGTCTTTCCCCTCAAGTGGAGGAAACAATGCAGTATAAAGCGTATATTAAATATAGGACAAAGGTCCCTGAGAAGCATTTTCAAAAGCTACTAAATTATATTTTTTGAATATTTCAGAGCTTAACTCTATGTTCTTGCAAAGATAGCCACTCCCTTTTAATGGGCTTTGTTTCTTGCTGTGATCTGCAATGCGTTTCCTTTCTTGGTATTTCTTTATAAATATGTACTGGTTACACTGTTCATGTTCCTGTGATGTCTGCTATTAGGATGCTACTTTGATTGGTTGCTGTCATCATTTTTGTTAATTCTTACCTGCTAACAGAAGCATCTTTCTATCTGTAAAGATCTGATTGTCTACGGAATTCGAATGTGTAATTGCCTCATGTATACTCAATCCTCTGTGACTGGTAAAGCTGCATTAACAAGCAGGAGAGTTACTTCCCAACTTGTCACCTCTGTGGCATTTAGATTTGTTTTCATTAATGCTTGGCCTGCCTACGTGAATTTCATCAAGCTTCTGACTCCACAGCACTTGTAGAACACCCAGGGCTGGATTAGCATGATTCATTTCAATACTTCCTTCCTACTCAGTCTCCGGGTTCTCTAACACTTATCCTCCTTTGTGTAACTGGTAATATCACAAAAACAACAAAAAAAAATCCCTATTTTATATTAACAGGTTTTGATTTTTAAAAAAATAATGGTTGCTATCATATTAATGAAAAATTTTAGGGCAACGTGAATAACTAATTGGCATCAAAGAATTAAGAAAACCCCAACTGTATCTCACATAAACTACGGATGATGCTTACTTCAAATATAAGTGGAATAAAATCTGCATCTCTTACTCCCACATACAAATCATGGTAAACAATTTCATTTCAAAATAAAAATCCCATTAAGAATCTAAAAGTCCTCCTCATAGACCTACACACTGTTTTCACTCTTGTCCAGAAACCCACAGGGGCTCTAGTCTAGATTTTCAAAATCTCACATTAGTATTGAAGTGACCTGGCAAGGTTTTCTCCTTGCCTCTTCAATACCATCTCTGCCATTTCTAATGAAGACTGGAAATATTCTAGTTCACCAATTGGCTTATCTTCCCCTCCTCATAGTTTCCAGTTTGGTGTATAGCCATTGAGAGAGATTATTCTTTGCTATCCCCTCAGAAGTCCTTTACCAGCTATCTCCTCTGGTCTACAGCCATTTCCTTCTTTGAAACCCTGGTCAAATCTACCGGATTTAAATACTCTTTAAAATAAGATTATTACATAGATTATTTTCAAATGCATCTTCTAATATTAGAGCAATAGGGAAAAAAGTCAATGAGCTCCCTATTTCTGTTCGCAACTAGTGCAAAGAAACCAGGGAATCATCCAAGATTGCCCCATCTACTTTTTGCTGACTCCTTTACTCCTTTGAACCCTTCTTCACAAGAATGTTCATTTTGTACATTGTTTTTCTCCTCCCCTAACTTTATAGAGATATAATTGATGCATAACATTGTGTGAGTTTAGGGTGTGCAATGTGTTGATTTGATACACTTATATATTGCATAAAGATTACCACTGTAGCATTAGCTAACATCTCCATCACATCACATAATTACCATTTCTTTTTTGTGGTGAGAACATTTCAGATCTACTCTCTTAGCAATTTTCAAGTATATAACACAGTATTGTCGACTACAATCACCATGCTCTACGTTAGATCTCCAGAACTTATTCATCTTATGACTGGAAGTTTGTACCCTTGGTCCCTCATCTCCCCATTTCCCTCACCCTCCAGCCCCTGTTAACCACCATTCTACTCTCTGTTTCTGTGAGTTCTGTTTTTTTGAGATTCCACATATAAGTGATATCACACAGTATTTGTCTTTCTCTGTCTGACTTATTTCACTTAGCATATTGCCCTCAATGTCCATCCACGTTGTCGCAAATGGCAGGATATCCTTCTTTCTCATGGTGAATAGTATTCTATTGTATATATCTATATATAATATATTTTACTCTTGAGATGAGTGTTACCTTTAAATGTCTTTTTTTATATGGCAAAATAGATTCATTGAATCTTCAGACTTTAGTTCATCAGATGCAGCCTCTTTATATTATGCATAAGGAGGCCCAGATTAATTTAGACCTCTCCAAAACATGCTTATAAAACTAATTCCCTAACCCCTATTTTGGAATGCTTTTCCTTATATGTCACAGATAGATTCCAAGTTTCTGATAGTACATAATGCAGTGCTGGGACTCCAACATGGAATTAAACACAATGTGTCTAAAAGCTATTCTGTTTATAAAATAAATGCATGCAAAGTAATCAGCACATTCGAAGGAATGCTTTCTTTTGAGATAGATCCCTTAGAAGGCAATCTGGGCCTTGGACCATTTCTAGTTCTGTGCTCTCTCCCCAAAATAACCTTGCCTTCCCAAGAGCTCAAAGAAAGCGTGCCAAAAATGTGGCTTAAGGAGACCAGCAAATAATCTTAATTCTCAAACCTGCTTTTGATCCTGTGTCCATGTGGGTGTAAAAAAAAGAGAGATTGGAGGGAGTGAAAGAGAGGTGGGAGAAAGAGATATGAGATGATAATATTAATAACAACAGTTGTTGAATCTGGGTGCCCGGCATTGCTCTAAACACTTTATCTACATAACTTACTTAGCATCACAAAAAATCTCATAAGGTAGATATTATCATTATCTCCATTTAACTGATGAGGAAAGTGAGGCATAGGAATGCTAAATAACTTGCCCAACATTGCAAGTAGTGAGACTGTGCACCAAGTTACAATCCTGGATATTTGACTGTACAGCTTGTGCTCTTAACTGCCAAGATAATTACATATACACATTGTTTTTAATATATATTTAATATATACTGAATAGTCTTTTGTGCTCAGTTTGTATTAGGCATTAGTTGTATCAATGCGCAAGACACAGGTCTTGATCTCAATGGATTGGAGTAAAGAGGTGAGGAATCTAGTAATTTTAATCTAGTTCATGAGGATTTTCTAGCTGAGGGTGAACACAGGGCATGAGAGTATGTAGGAGGGGCACCTAGAGGTGGGGCTGGCGGTGAGGTGAGGAGAGAGGACTTTCACATCTAGGCTTAACTCTCAAGATGGAGTAGCAGTTAGATGAACAAGGGGAGGCAGAAGGCATTCCACACGAAGCAACAATAGTTTCAAAGGCCTGAGATGGCACAGAGCATGATGCTTTCATTGGCTTGCAAATTATCCAGATGACTGGACTTGTATGGTATCCCCTCCTGTCTTGGTCCGTAAGCAAAAGAAAATAAGTAAATAAAGAGTAGCCTTTACAGATAGCTCCTCTGTTCTCCTGCCTTACCCCCTTAGAGGTGATAAGTAATGACTTAACTCATAATCTGATCTAACAATCTTTATCTTATTTTATACTTATCTTACATATGTGTGCATTTATTTATATTATATTGGAAGGATCTCAAGGTCAAGGACTCTGGTGTGTGTGTGTGTTTGCTTGTTCCAATGATGATACTAAGATGAAACTCACTTGTTGAGCCACTGTGTAAACTTGTCCAGACTCATTCTACAAATGACTATAACTTTTTAAAAATAGGCATAATTTAAACATCTTAATTTTGAAAATTTGTCTGATTTATAATGATAAGTATGAGCAAACAGTTTCCAAAGCCCAGTAAAGTAAAACCTTTGCCCATCTAAACGCACTTGAAGGATGGGACACATAACTGTCAGAATCAGTGCAGTGATTCTCAGACTGCTTTGGGTCAAGT